GGCGTGTAGGCATGGCCCTATGAAAGGTTTTATAAGGACCGGGCTGATATAAATGGTGACCAAATACCCCCAACCGGATGGTGAGTTTCTTTTTTGCAACAGCCCCTGGACTTTCTTTGTGTTTCCCCTCTCTGACCACTGCCCCCTTTCACCCCCAAGACTTCACAGAACAGAACTGTCCCTATGTCAGCTAGGGATTTGGATTTAGGGGATGTTTTTGGAGCATCAGACCAGAGAGGAAGGGAAGGTCAAAGTGGCCAAATAAGGTTCTGGGAGTGCGTATGTACCATCTGTAGGGCAGAAAAGCAGAATTCTTACTGGGCTGTTTTTCTGTTTTAAAATATCGGCCCCTTTCCCATCTCATTATTTTCCCTCCCAAAGCTCTTGCGCAAGCCAACTATAAATACATTATTAAAGCCTTATGTTTCATGCCTCTTAGATGTTCCCAGAAATTTCATTTTCACTTGGGCAGGGAGGAAGCTGTGAGGTGGTTCTCTGATCCCTCCAAATCTTCCAGAATTGCCGCCTTTATTGCACAGGGCTGATGGGGTTAGAACAGAACCACGTCTTTAGCAGCATGACTCAGAATTTCAGGCTGATGTGGAATGTATTGCTTTTTCCTCTCCATTTCAGTTTGAATCAGAAACTGCAACTGCAGCAGGAGAAGCTCAGTTCTGATTATAGCAAGCTGAAAATAGAGGACCAAGAGAGAGAAATGAAACTGGAAAAACTCTTGTGAGTGTGCTTTAAATATTTCCTCTGTTTTCTCTCATCCTCTCAAAGTTGTTTTTTTTTTTTTTTTTTTTTTTTTTTTTTGGGCCAACTGCACGGCACGCGGGATCTTAGTTCCCTGACCAGGGACCAGGGGCTGGACCCATGCCCCCTGCAGTGGAAACGCAGAGTCTTAACCACTGGACTGCCAGGGAAGTCCCCCCACCGCCCTGCAAAGTCTTACAAAGTCTACTTTGGTGATTCAGATACCCTAATATTCAGGTTAGGTCAGGCCAATTTAAAAACAGACCATGGCCATTTGGGTGAGTTGGTTTGTTTTGCTGACTTATCTGCAGATGCAGATGGTATCTGTGAGAATCTCTGATGCCCCTCTGGTGGTTCACAGTTCCTTTCTGTTTTTTAGATTGCTCAATGATAAAAGAGAACAAGCCAGAGAGGACCTCAAAGGGCTGGAGGAGACAGTGGTATGTTGACATGTTTCCCAACTCATTTTAGTCTCAAAAGACCAGATTGGTTTATTATCTTTTGAATTTGTTTCCTCTAAAATTTTATTTGTGCATGCCTTTCTTGAATATCATTTTAAACATAAAACTTCCTACGGAAACATGAGAGCTGTAGAACTTATTCTCCTGGTCTTAACAGAGTGACTAACCATCCATCCATCCATCCATCCATCCATCCTTAAGACTGTAACCATGGAGCCCTGACTGAGATTTAAACTCAAATCAGTGCCTGCAATTTTACAGCCTCTGTATGTTGTGACTTACTTCCATGCAACAATCAATGGATATTTATTGATCACCTACTGAGGGCTGGCATGCTTTTAGGTGCTTGAGTTGCATCAGTACAAAACAGAGTTAAGATGCTGGCCCTTGTGAAGCTGTCTTTCACCTGGGGGAGACAGACAGTGAGAAATAAGGATGTAGATCATGACCTCCATTAGATGGTTATAGAAAGTGCAGGGGTACTGGTTTGGGGTGGCCCCACTGGAAGGTGACATTTGAGCAGGAACTTGAAGCAGGTACAAGAAGGAGCCATGGGGATGTCCGGGGGAGGAGCCTTCCAGGAGAGGCAACAGCCAGTGCCAAGGCCCTGAGGTCAGCCCATGGCAGGCATGTTGGGGTACAACAGGGAGATCAATGTGTATGTGACCGAGAGAAGGGGGGAGGGCAGGAGGTAGGCACAGAGAGGTCAAGGCCAGAGGAGGTGCAGGCCAGGTAGGGCCTTGGGACCTGCAGGGTTTGGGGCAGAAGAGTGACAGATCGACTTCCCTTTGGAAGAAGGGCTCACCATCTGAGATCCTGGTTAGTTTTCTCTGTCCTTTCATTGGGTTTGTGTCCTCTGGTCAACTTCTGTCTCAGTTGCCCCGGGGGGTAGCTGCCTGGCTCCGAGGGCTCTCAAGAGCCCTTCAAAATGCCACACAGCCTGTGTTTGAAGACAGACACCCCAAATAGTCTCTCAATTTGGTGAAAACATGTCGAGTCATTTCACATGACATGACAACAGAGAGAAACTGTTGTTTAGATACAGTCATGCATTTTGATTTCATTCCCACGTCATGTCAATTTATGTGGGACTGAGCCTGAATCCATGAACTCGGTGACCCCAGACTGGAGGCAAGTGGTTGATCAGGGCTGGACCCGAGGCTGCACTCTGGCCCCTGGGCCAGTGTTAGCTGCTCCTCAAAGCCAGGTGTGGGCTCGGAGGGCTCAAGCCGTTCAGGACAGAAGTAGGATGACTGTTCACAGGAAGTTGGGCCTTTTGAGCCTGGTGGAGAAGACGGTGGGCAGGGCGGCTGGAGGGGAAACGGAAATGAAGCCATGAAGTTGCTTCCTCCACGTCTGTTCTCCTGGAGAAGTGATACCCACAATCATAGGCAATTATAACAACTCAGAAATATATTGCACAGTAAAATGTCACTGTATTCCCACCAGCCAGAGATCAATATTTCAGTACCTTTTCTTCCTTTACACCCTTGCACTCTCTCATGCACACTCTCACGCAGCATACACACCTTCCATGCCCACACCCAGAAGCTCACTCTTCACCCCTCTCTCTCTCACGGCCTCACCCACACTCGGGCACAATCACTTATTCTTTCTCACACACACATCTTCACACACCCTCACACCCACAGGCCCTCACGTTCACATTCTCACGCCTGTGTTCATCCACTCACAAATTCTTACACACTCACCCAGCACACCCCATAACATGCTGACACACACATTCACACTCCTTAGTGACCATCCACACTTTCTCACCGGCACACTCACACTTTTGCTCATTCACTCTCACACCCTCCATCACGTCCGCTCACACATACTCACCCCACGTGCTGACTCTCTCCCAGACTCACAAGCTTTCTGTCTTTCACACTCACTCATGAGCATGTTCTTTTGCCCTTTTGAATGTTTTTTTGTTTTGTTTTGTTTTGTTTTGGCCTCACTGAGCGGCTTGTAGAATCTTAGTTCCCTGACCAGGGATCGAACCCATGCCCCCTGCAGTGGAAGCACGGAGCCCTAATCACTGGACCTCCAGGGAAGTCCACTGAATACATTCTTATTTATTTATTTATTTATTTATTTATATTTTGGGCTGTGTTGGATCTTCGTTGCTGCACGTGGATTTCTCTAGTTGCAGCGAGCGGGGGCCACTCCTCACCGCAGTGCACAGGCTTCTCGTGGCGGTGCCTCTCTTGTTACAGAGCATGGGCTCCAGGCACACAGGCTTCAGCAGTTGTGGCACACAGGCTCTAGAGTGCAGGCTCAGTAGTTGTGGCTCACAGACCTAGTTGTTCCACGGCATGTGGGATCTTCCCGGACCAGGGCTTGAACCCGTGTCCCCTGCACTGGCAGGCGGATTCTTAACCACTGCGCCACCAGGAAAGTCCACTGAACACATTTTTAACAACACATTTTCCTCACTAGCCTCCTCCACTGGTTCTCCCTCCCCCACCTCCCCCCACCCCCGAGCCCACTCACCTATGTTCCCACCCTCACATCCATTCTCCCCGGTCCCCCTACCACACACACATGCTCACACAACACAGTTGGTCCCTCACACGTGGACAGACCCACTGACACAGCCTCCCACATTCCCTCTGCAGCCCTCACTGCCCATCCACACACATCACGCACACACACGCTTTCAATTCCCAAACTGGAGCCCCACGGTCTGTGCCATTCCAGACGTGGGTGTTTTTACTTATCCTTCCATCACATCCTCCCCAAGCTGTCAGTGTTCCTCAAGGGCAGGCCTGCTGTCCTTGGCTGACCCTTCCTGAGCCCCCCTTAGCTCTAGGCCTGCACTGCCTCCTGGACTGTCTGGACAGGGCCGGGGTGGGGCCTGCCACCCAGGGGTTGGGGTCTGTGAAGCCCACTCCGGGGGGCGATGTTGGGAAAGGCCAACCAGCCAGTGGGGACGTCTCTGGGGTCCCGGGAAGCCATCTGGCTTTAATAGGACACTTTGTGTGGGCTCTGGGGCTGGACCTCTCCTCCTGCTGCGTTGATGGGCCTTGTGTCCCCACCTCTCTGGTCACACCCTCGCTGTCCCCTGTGACAGGAAGCTGAGCCCTGAGCTTTTACACAGAGGGCGGCGTCCGTGCCAGGAAAGGCTTATGACTTACTTCACAAGGGAAGGGAATCGGGGTGGGTGAAGGAATGATAATGGATACGATGGAGGAAAATTCATTGCCCCAGGAAGCCAAAATGGGGTTACGCAGGCATTCATGTGCAACTTATCAACTGTTTCCAAGGTCTTGAACTGCCCCTCCTAAACTGCTTATTCAAGTTACCTAAAAACAAACAGTAATGAGAGAAAGTCGCCAAACTCCGGACTCTGGATTATTTGGTGCTCGGCCTGGAAGAATCGCCTGGCCCTTTGACAAGACACCCGGGTCTTCTCTTCTCATGTCCCTGCAGGGTGGTGGCATTTTTCATGGAAAGTATTTACTGTGATTATAGTTCAATCAGTAATGAAATCCCTGAAGTGGGAGAGAGAGCTCGCAGAGCAGGGGGCCGAGGCCGAGCTCCCTCGGGCAGGGGCACAGGCAGCACAGCTACATTACTGAGAGCTCGGAGCAGCCCCCCTGCACCTGCCGGCCGGTGGCTCAGCTCTGGGCGCGCACCGCGTGCACGGCGTTCCTAACGGCAGGCCTGCTTGGCCTCCTGCAGAAAGTAATTTGCCTCATCTGAGGAATCAATTGACTTCAGGTGCTTTTTATTTCAACTCAATTATGGAATTGGAGCCAGTAATTTGACCTTAAATTAACATAGAACCTTTATTCAAGAAACTTATTATTTCCATGGCTTTAGAGCCTGTTTCTTCCTTTTTTCTGTGAGCTTGTATGCGCTCCATCCCTTGACATTCTGTGTTAGAGTAGGTCAATTTAGACAAACTGGAAAACATAAATGCAAGTGTATTTCTCTCCTTATGGGAAAATATTTTTAAGGGAACTAGTCGTATGGCCTGTGGTAAATACACAGAGACTTAAATGGAAGGAAATATTTTGGTTTTCTGATTTTGTTAAACAGAGGTCACCAGATTTGACTTAGACCTTTGTCTTAGCAGTCTAATTCCTAAGGGTTCATTAGTAGAAAAGACTCCGAAATGAAGGAAAAAAATGCTCCCAAGAAGTTAATTTCATGAAAGTTATAACAACAACCAAAGGGAGCAATAAAAGTCTAATGAAGAAATGTCTGTCAAATATGATGCATCAATACGTTAATACTAGCTAATATTTATTGAATGCTTACTATGTGCCAGAAATGGTTGTAAGAGTTTATAAGGATCATCTCAATGAAGCTTGATAACAGCAACTATGAGGCGACTACTATTTTTATCCTCATGTTACAAATGAGAAAGCTGAGGCACAGAAAGGTTAGATAAGTTGCCCAGGGTCACCCAGGTGGAAAGTCCATAGGCTCAGTGATGTAAAGCAAAGGAGCATATGGACCACGGCCAGAGGGGTGTGGAAACATGAAAAATGTCGGTCAGTCAGGGTGGGAGAAACTGTGGCTAACTTTTCATTTAAATTTGTTAGCATTTTGTATAACATGTACACAATAAGTTAGAGGAAAAAAAGAGTCCATTCTGGTACAACACAGCCCTCCAGGAATTTTTATGAGAAAACTTTTGAATTTTTGTGGTTGAAGGGGAGAAAAGGTTCTATTTAAAACACAGCAAACGAGCAGGCTTTGTTCTAGTTTACACTTCATTGTTTGAGTCCCAGTCTCTGAACCTTGGGGTGCCCGTGGGAAGATGCCAGGTGGAGGAGGAGGATATGAGTGGTGGGCAGGTCGGAGGACGTGGTGAGCCCCATGGCCTCGATGGTTGGCTTACAGAGCCTTATGGAGCTGTCTGGGGTTGATGGTCTGGTGCCAGCTGTGTCATAAATTCAGCGTGTTCCCTCATTTAAGTGGCATTTTAACAATCTTCTCTTCCAGTCTCGAGAGCTACAGACTCTGCACAACCTCCGTAAACTCTTCGTCCAGGATCTGACCGCCCGGGTTAAAAAAGTGAGTTCTAGTTTGTGTGAATGGGACTGAGAAGAAAAGTTGGCCAGAACGAATCATTTTCAATTGAAGTACCACTTGCTTAAATCGGGGCTGGTTGTGCTTAAACATTAATCGCTTCATGCCAGAGAGTGTGATTAAAAGAATGTGCTGGAGGGGGAAAAAATACTCGGGAACATTTTTCCATCTGATTTTTCCTCCTTAGTAAAAGGAAGTTATTGGGTTGGCCGGAGAAGTTCATTTGGGTTTTTCCTGTAACATTTTATGGAAAAACCCGAGCGAACTCTTTTGGCCAACCCAGTATCCTTTCAAACGAACACATATTTATCTGGCCACAGTGTGAAAACCTCTGAGTGATGCAGGGAAAACCCAGAGGGGTCTCATCAGACAGCGTGGCCCTGAAGCCTGGTGAACGATGTCAGGAACGTGGAAGTCAGGGGCTAGAGCCTCATCTTTGCTTGTTAAGAGGCCATGAGGGGCCAGGTCAGAGTGTACGAAGCACTTTAACATCCGGCGTCTTGTTTGCTCTCCCCAGGAGCCATGTAAGTGGTTCTTAGTGTTCTGTTTTGCAGCTGTGGAGGTGGGCTCAGAGGTTACGTGACCTCCCGAGATCACGCAGCTGGGGAGAGCCAGAGATGGGATTGTAATCCAGGTCTGTGTGACTCCTGAGTCTGAGCTTCTTTGGTCCTTGTGCCACACACAGTGACAGTGATCTTGGGAGTCACTGAACGGTGAACCCCCAGAGCAGCTAGCAGAGGTTTCGGGAGGGGGGAGGGGGAGGGGTAAACAGCAAGGGGGCTACGCTTTAAAGATATTTGAAAGTGATGGATGAGGGGCAGTGGGCATACCCAGAGGTGTGACAGGATGGACGGAAGGTATATTTAAGAAAAGTGTGTGCATGGGGGTCTGTGTGAAGGACCCAAGGAAAAGGGATGAAATATATTATAAAAAAAGAGGAGGTGACTGATGGAGTCGGATCTGAGAAGACAGAATTGACAGTATAGGGGAAAGTATTAGGCTTGGTAGATGGAAAGGGCCCACTTTCCCAGAGAGGAGACGTGGAGAAGCCAAGATGGAGACATTCGTAGGGAAATATATGACACCGGGAAGAGATGCATCTGAAGACTTGGACCCTCTCAGTTAATGTGCAGAAGAAGGAAGAGAATGGGAAGCCCACAGAGACTAGAGGAGGCTCAGGCAGCTGTGGGGGGTTTGCTGGGGACGAACAAAAGGTTGCTGAGCAGTGTGGGAGTGTCCAGCTGAGGGTCAGAGCACGGATTTGTCGTGGCACCTGACAGCACGGTTCTAGTGAGCTTGGAAGCCTGGAAATAAACACAAGGAAAGAGGGTGGAGAATGATGGGAGGTTTCAAGGTGGCACTGTTCAGGCAGGTAGGTAGTGATCACCATCATCAAAATAGAAATGACTGGAGGACCCGGACCAGGGAGGAGAGAGAGGCCAGAGCAGAGGTGATGGAGACAGAGACTAGAGAGGTTATGACAAGAACCAAAAAGGCTCAGTCGGAGGGAGGAGGTGTTCCGAGGAGGGCGCAAAGCTTGAGATCAGACTTCCCTGACTTCACGATATAAAACTCTAGGGAGAGCCTATTCCTAGACCAGTGGTTCTCAAAGTGTGGCCACCTGGCCAGCAGCACTAACGTCACCTGGGAACTTGCTAGAGGTGCAAATTCTCAGACCCACCCTGGATCCACTGACTCAGAGACGAGGGTAGGGCCCAGCAATCTGAGTTTTAACAAATCCTCTTCTGGGTTTGAGAACCCCGGATTTAGATCAAAGAGACAGGTTTGAGATGCTCATATAGACATCACGTCTCAGAAAGAGAAGGGTGATGATCTCTTCTATAATGAGACAAAGCAAGCGTGCTTTGCCATTTTTGGACTCCAGGATGTGTTTCTACATGTATTTCCCAACTTATCTGGCCACTCAGTGTGGCAGTGCTGGGAGGACAGTGTTTTTATCAATCAAACAGTGTTTTTATCAAGACCTGATAAATTTCGAGAGTTGATCCAGCACAGCACGCAGATGCCGTGACTAGTCTGAGATGGATTCATTAAGTAATTTCATGGAATTGGAAGCTGAAGGGACAAGCAGAGGCCATTGAGACTTCCCAGTGGGACCACAGACACTTTCCCACAGCTTGGTTACTTGTTATCTCACTTGTGATGTTTGAAATGAAACTTGGGTCTTGAGCTTATGTTGTTTCTTTTTCTAACATCTTTATTGGAGTATAATTGCTTTACGTTGTCGTGTTAGTTGCTGCTGTATAACAAAGTGAATCAGCTATACGTATACATACATCCCCATATCCCCTCCCTCTTGCATCTCCCTCCCTCCCACCCTCCCTCTCCCACCCCTCTAGGTGGTCACAAAGCACCGAGCTGATCTCCCTGTGCTATGCGTCTGCTTCCCACTAGCTATCTGTTTTACATTTGGTAGTATATGTATGTCCATGCCACTCTCTCACTTCGTCCCAGCTTCCCCTTCCCCCTCCCCGTGTCCTCAAGTCCATTCTCTACGTCTGTGACTTTATTCCTGTCCTGTTGGGCTTATGTTTTCACACTAGCTCTTCTTAATGAGTTTTGGAACACTCCCTTTTGAAAAGAAAAGCCTCTATTTACCTGCATGCCAGGGAGAGGTCTGTTTCACAAAGAGAGCTGAATCTAATCTGAATCCCTCAAAAAAAGATTTGAAGTTTTTTTGTCAGCTGTCCAAAGGAAGAACACTTTTGATACCGATCAAGGAAATTAATTGGGAGGAAGGTCGAGTCTAAACTTTTAGGACCACTCTTCATTTTCACTTTCAGAATAACCTTTAGTAAGATTGGGGGTTTTCTTTCGAATGGCTCATCCACATGGTGTTGGGACTGGGGGTGGGCAGTGTGGAGGCCTGTCCCGCTGACCCCTCGGTGTTGATGCAGAGTGTAGAGCTGGACAGCGACGATGGAGGAGGCAGCGCTGCCCAGAAGCAGAAAATTTCCTTCCTGGAGAATAACCTGGAGCAGCTCACTAAGGTCCACAAACAGGTAGGAGAGTTGCGTCACCTTCCTCCTGCTTCTCTTTCTCTCCTGCAGAGAAGCCCCGCTGGATTCAGCCGTAGTGAGGGAGGTGACTCTGATACAGAAGGTAAAAGGACAGTACATCACTAGGGAACATCAGTGCTGGAAGGGACCTGGCACTCTTTTAGTCTTCAGTGACTTCCCTTGTATAGAAAATACCTTCTTTTTTTTAAATTTTATTTTTTGGTCCTGCTGCCTGGCACGCGGGATCTTAGTTCCCCGACCAAGGATCGAACCCTCACCCCTGCAGTGGAAACGCAGAGTCTTAACCACTGGACCACCAGGGAAGTCCTAAAATACTTTCTTGATGGAAGCCAAATATAAGGAATTGAGTGTGAGCTCTCTGGGGCTTGGGGAGCAGAGCGTTCAGTCGTGCCTTTTCATCCTGCCTCCCATCCCAGCCTCCAACCCCAGCTGGCCTCAGTGTCTCCCGTGATGCTTTTCAGGACCCTCTGTGGAATGCAAAGTGGATGCCACCGAGCTGTGTCAGGCTCCCTCTTTTTATAGATGAGGAAACAGACTGGGCGAGGAAGCCACTGGCTTCATCCCACACGTGGGAGCGTTGGTGCTGGAACCAACCCCCTCTCTGCACTGTCGCCCTATTTCTTGGGCATCCTCTCAGGTTCCTGAAACACCCTGGAGTTTGTCTAGAGTGACAGAGTGACAGTGTCCAAACCTACCGGTGACTTAGGCAGGTTATTTGTCTCCTTTCTATTTAAATGCTGGAATGTTCATGACGGTTTTTCCTAAATCCTCAAGATTTGGGATCTGATAAAAATGGTCCAACATTTTGGACCCCGTGGCTGAGGGGATGTCATTTCTCTTTGACTTGTTACATCCTCTTCAACATTACTGATGATGGCGTTTTTCCCCAAAGGGAGGATGACAGATTCAACATGGTTGAAGTCACTCAAGCAAATTGTTGATGAGAAATAGAAAAGCAGAAACTACCAGGGAACTTGAAATAGAGCTCTGAAATTCATTAATTATTTTATTCATGAATTCAATGAATATTTATTAAACACCTACTCTCTGCCGGGCACTGGAGCTGGTGCTGGGTGGGGATACAGGAGTAAAGAAACACAGGTGGAGACCCAGCAGTAGTTCAGCCTTTGTTTAGCACTTAAGATTCTCAAAACTTTTCCTGATCCATTTGGATTCCCACAATGATCCTATTTATGTGGCCTGTAGACTTAGAGTGGTTGAGTGACTCACACCTGGTCAGATGGCCAGGCAGTAACAGATATGGCTCTTGAGCGCATTCTTAACCCAGGGCTAGCTTGTTCCTTCTTAACTGAGGGTCTTAGGTAATGAAAGAATGAGCAGTATCCCTGAGTTACCCGTTAGCCTCTGGATATGTTGCAATGTGGGGTCCAAACCCGGTGCTGGTGTAGACAACGTGTCCTGGCTTGGAAGGAGGCCTTCAGAGAGCTCTAGAACATGAATGCCCTTCACTGAGCGTGTCTGAACTGGCTTCGCATTTCTTATCTTTCACATGCCAATGTCCAAGTAGTCAGTTTTCTCTGGCAAGTCCCCCCCTCACCCCTCAAACAAAAGAGGCAGTAAATCCCACCCACGCCTGAAAGTTTCCTACAGCTGGAAATGGCTTTTGATTCTATCGCACACCCCTCCCCGCTTTCTCGTACCCGTGAATCCTGTGTTTAGCAAATTGGAGCCTCAGGGTATGGGATTTTTATTCCCGTTGGTCCCACCGTTTATGGTCTTACGGACTCTCCAAGGCGGCCCTGGTGGGACGCGCGGGTGGTGGTTCTAGCTGCTCTCCTGTCACCTTCTCAGCCCCCGCAGTGCGTCTGCCCACCCCGACGCCCCGTAACTCCCCACCTCTCCCTCCCGCCGCAGCTGGTCCGGGACAACGCAGACCTGCGCTGTGAGCTGCCCAAGCTGGAGAAGCGCCTGCGTGCCACAGCCGAGCGCGTCAAGGCACTGGAGAGTGCGCTGAAGGAGGCCAAGGAGAACGCCATGCGGGACCGCAAGCGCTACCAGCAGGAGGTGGACCGCATCAAGGAGGCTGTGCGAGCCAAGAACATGGCCAGGAGGGCCCACTCGGCCCAGATCGGTATGTGTGCCCACACCCGGGCCCTTGATAGAAGGCAAGGGCTCCTCTGGCTGGTAGCTCTGGGCGGGGCGGCCTGGCTCCTCCCGGCACCCAGCGTCCATCCTGGGAGGATGGGGTGGCCAGGCGTGCGCTTCCTTACACTGAGAGATTCTGGGGGACCTTGTGATCGTCAAAGCTATTGAGCTGAGCAGAGAAGGCGGCCAGCCCTGGCTGCAGGCAGAGGTGTTTGGCTGTAAACAGACAGAGGTATACTTTCTCCGGAATACCGAAATATATGGCTTGCTCAGGAAAGCCCGAAGGCCCCTTCTGTTCTGCACCCGGCGGAACCACGAAGGAGCTACGTGTAGCCAGAAGCCTCAGGGAGAGCTGCTTGCAAGCACAGCCTTGGAAATACTCTTGAGAGAGCCAGGCCTGGCATCAGTGAGTGCAGGGGGCCTGGACATCCAGCCCCTTCAAGACCTGGATTTGGACCCATGCAAAGAATGAGAGTGTGCCTGTTGAGTCGTAGTTCTTGGGACAGTGCCGTGAGAGTAGAAGGGATTTAAGGATGTTCTCTAGAGAGCTTCTTTCTTTCTTTCTTTCTTTCTTTCTTTCTTTTCTTTTTTTAAATGGAAACATCTCCAATAACATGTAATATTATTTCTCATCAGATATTGCAGATGTTATGTAAACCAGCAACTTCACGTTTCTAGTTTTAAGATCATAACTTACACTAGTGGTTCATTGCATTTATTGGGTCTTATACCCTTGGACTATCTACTGAAAACTGTGAACCCTCTCCCCCTAAAATGCATCACAGACAGAATTCTGCATCCAGTTTCAGGGAGATGCTGTTGGAACCCATTGGGACCCACGGATCTGCCTCAGATAAAACTGAAAGTCCTCTGTTTCTAATTTTCCTTGATAAGAATTGAAATAATTGATACACAAGGTCTCTCTGTCCCCTAAACATTGGGTGCCTTGGATTAACTCACTCTACTAATCGGAGGGTCTGGTGATTGATAAGAATTGTAATGTCGATAAAAAGTGTGCCTCTTGGTTTTCGCACGTGACCTGGAGGTATCTCGGCGCGGCTGTTTAAGTCCTTTCTGAATGTCTCTTCTCTCTTTTCTGTCGGTTGGATACAGCCAAGCCCATCCGCCCTGGACACTACCCAGCATCGTCTCCAACGGCCGTCCACGCCATCCGAGGGGGAGGAGGCAGCTCTTCAAACTCCACTCACTACCAGAAATAAACACGAAGTGAGTCCTTAGTGTCAGGGGTGGCTTCCGTCCGGGGCAGCCCTGGGGCTCTCCCTGCTTCTGCCTGGCTCTCAGCCATGTGTGTGTGGACCTGCAGTGGAGAAGAAAGAGTGCAGCTCTACCCCAGCACAGGCCCTGGGGCTTCAGGTTATCAGGGGCCTGGGTCTACCTTCAACTCAGTCTAGGGCCTCAGGGTCTTCCGGCTAAGGTCACTTAGTGCCAGGGACCCTCCAGGGACAGGGAGGGTGCGGTGAATGATTCATCCGAGCTTTCTTTTGTCTGCGGGACTCCCCTCTGTAGCTGGCATCCAAAAGGGCATTGCCTGTTTGTCAACTGCTTTTACCCAGAGCAGGCAGATGTGGGTGACTGCTTTAAGTCTCAGGAACTGAATATAAAGAAAGAGCCAGATAATAGAAAGTCACATTTTTATAATTACTATCTGAACGCAACAAATGGAGTCTTTAAGAATTGTGCAGATTTATGTCTTGGTGGGTCCAGACCACTTTTTGCTTTGAGATGGCGGTCTGAAAACTTCTCTTCCCACACTCCACATGCCTGACATTGCTGTACCAGCACAAGGGGAAAAGTGATGTCCTTCAGAAAAGAGAAGGAGAGAGCACAAGCCTGTCCTCTTGTACTTGAGATAAAGAGTTTACTGGTTGGGCAGGGCAGACAGCTAGGTGGCCAGAAAACTCTGTTTAGAGAAACTGTGACTTTGGGCCAGTAACCTGTAGATGGGAGGAGGTGGATCCTAACGTTGACCTTGGAGTCTTCGTCCTCACTAGGAAAGCTTGTGAGCTTGACAGCAAAGCCGCAGCAATCAGGGGCAACTCAGGAGAGCGGTGGTTCCTCACCCAGTCCTTTTTGCATCAAGGTAAGGAAAGTGAATATGAGGGGCTGGAGACCCCACTCAGGGGGTACGACAATATTGCTAAGGCTCAGACTAAGACTTCCACGGAGAAAGCTTGGCGGCTGCACCCAGACCACTTTCACCTGCCCTACCCCAGGCAGCATGTCAAGGAGCGGGACAGGTCGAGGCAGGCCACGGGCGGGCAGCGTGCCCACCACCTTCTGCCGTATCCTGGGAGGGTGGATGCAGAATGATCTTGGCTGTGGGCCACCCTATTCAGATGCGATCTCTGCTTTTAATCAGAAATAAAGTAAAGCTGGATGTTATAAAATTGCTTCTGACCGCACGTTATCAGTGTTGGGGATGACACTTGAAGGGAACTGTAGGAACAGATTGGGCCGCTTAGAACAGAAAGCGTAAAGCAGTGGTTCTCGAACTTTGGTGGGTGTCAGCATCATCTAGCACACCCAGACACCCAGGCTCCTTGAAGCAGCATAGGCCTAGAGCCTTTGTATTTTTACCAAGTACCCCAGGTGATTTTGCTAGCCACCTAAGTTTGAGACCTGCTAGCCTAAAATATCCTAAAGTGGCTGATACAGGATGGACGTTTATTTCTTTGTCACGTAAAGGACATTTGAGGGTGGTCTGTCAGTGGCTGGTAGAAAAACTCTACAGTGACAACAGAAAGCTATAGCCTCTTAAATTTAGACTCACCGTCCTCAGCAAGTACCTTCCTTGCTGGTCTCCTAAATGACTTCCTCGAGCTCGCCTAAATGGCTTCGCAGTTCTAGCTATCGTGCCTGTGTGTTGTGTGTTCAGCAAGCAGAGAGGAGGCTGGGGAGAGGCAAAAGCAGCTCGTACAGTTGAATCAGCTTCCTTTAAGTAGCCTTCGCAGAAGTCCCATCCAACTCTGATGCCTGCATCCCTCTGGCCAGAATTGAAACACGCGGCCACATCTAGCTTCAAGGGAGGCTGGAGAAGGTAGTCTTTAGCTGGGCACATCACCGCCCCAAACAAGAGTAGTGTTCTGTTGCCTAGGACAAGGAGATGGAGGTTGGGTGGGCAACCAACATTCTGCTTGTTGAACACCTGATCTGCAGCAGCACTGTACTAGACGTAATATCTACATCACCCCGTTTGATGGAAGCACCGGCTTAGTGTGTGCGCTTGGCTCCCAGCAAGGTTTGTTTTGTTTTGTTTTGTTTTGTTTTGCGGTACGCGGGCCTCTCACCGTTGTGGCCTCTCCCGTTGCGGAGCACAGGCTCCGGACGCGCAGGCTCAGCGGCCAAGGCTCATGGGCTCAGCCGCTCCGCGACATGTGGGATCTTCCTGGACCGGGGCACGAACCCGTGTCCCCTGCATCGGCAGGCGGACTCTCAACCACTGCGTCACCAGGGAAGCCCCCAGCAAGCTTTTAATGACTATACCGGCCCAGGGATTCCAGGGTCAGAGACTGTGCAGTGGACAGTCCCTCTCCTCGTGCATGCCCATAAAGGCCTGTCAGACCCACGTTTTATGGAGGGTGCGTACAACCAGATGTTGGCCAGGCCTCACCCATATATCCCCTTCTCACTCTGAAGACCGAAAATCAATAGGTCTGGTGAGACTTTGAAGACCTTCAGCGTATAGAACCACCCTCACCTGTCATGGCTGTTCGTTTCTTTCTCTAACTCAAAGTGTTATGAGTGGTTTTGATGATTTTATCTGAAATTGGAACCTCCACCACCCACCTTATCTATTCAAATGACTCCTGTAACTGCATGTTTTCCTCACAGTGTCACCAAACAAACAGGCCCCATCCAGGTGTCGGGATGGTGGTAGGGTCAAAGGGCCTGACTTTGGACAAGTGACCCGGGTCAGGTGTCAGGTCTTCCACTGCCTTCGAGATACTTAACCTCATGGTCGGTTTCCTTGTCTGTGAAATAGGGAGAATCCTTTCCCTGGGACACGGGCATTGATTTGAGGACTAAATGAGGTCATACTTCTGAGCTGCTTGGCACATAACAAGTGCTCAAGAAAATGTCAGCTGTAGGAGAGGCTAGCACTGCAACCTTGGCACACAGTAGGTGGTCCATGAATGTTGGTTTATATTCTCTTCTAATTCTCATAGTTGTTACAAAATAGTTTTTAGTCTGTAGCAGTTGATCATAACCACAGCAGGGAAGGCCCATGTCTGTGTATCCTATTTGGTGCTATGACCAGATATAAGGAGTTTAAAAGATACTATCATTTATTTATCCAAAAGTTACGAACAGCAACATTGACTATTTTTATGAAAATAACTGGGCATTGGTCAGTGGAGGTTAAAAAAAGGATGATAACCAATGGAGTAGGGAATTATAATTGGAAGTGAGGAAATGCTTATTAAAAAATAAGCTTATTAAAAAAATTGGAAATATGGAATTAATTGCTTAGATGAGATCAAAAGCTTTTTGAGATCCTGCTCTTTGGATTCTCGTTCTGAAGTGTGTCTGTCCTGTAGAAATGATCTCAATTGCTGACTCTTCCCAGCCCTCCTTTTGGAGCCAGAGCGGCACATTCATACTTGGGCAGCGTCTGGGTACCTTTGGGATTTCTCTCTGCTTCATTTATGATTCAAGGAATATAGTCATAATTAGTCTTTCGGTTTATGCCCAAAGTTTCAGAGCAACCGAAGATGCCAACATATAGAAATCAAAAGAACCCAGGACAGTGCCAGCTTTTATCTCATCTCATTCAAATCTGGGGGTGTGGGCTGCATCAGGAGGAGGGGCCCATCTTTTTCAACCCCCAAAGCTGGACATGGGGCAGTACAGTGCAGTAAGCTGACGGCATGGGATATGGGGTTGGCTAGATGTGGCCTTGGCTCTATTCCTGTGTGACATTGGGCAAATTGCTTGATTATTTTTAGCCTCAGTTTCTTCATCCGCCAAATGGGATCAGGCATTTTGTACTTGCTCTGTACTTGGTTTAATAGTAAAGAGACAAAGAAGGCTCTGTTCTTGCGTACTGACACGCTGTCGTGGGGAGATAGACAGCAATAAAGATGGTAACTGCAAATAGTGTTAAGTGTTCTGAAGAGAATAAGAACAGGTTAATGAAATAGAGATGGGGGACACTCATTTAGAAGAGGGGGTGACATTTGAGCTGAGAACTAAATGATGAGAAATGCCAGCCCTGCAATGACATGGGCACAGACACTCGCTGGAAGGTGGGTCCAGACTGTGGCATATTTCAGGAACCACAGGAAGGCTGATAAGGCTGGAGAACAGGGGAGACCATTATAACTAGGAATGTTGGGGAGGGAGATGGGACCAGATAAATGAGAGCTTTGAGGCCGAGGTGAGCAGTTTAGAGTGTAAGCTAGGCGTGTAGGGCCAGTGGGGGCTTTGGGCATGGGAGTGTTGGGACTCAGTTCATAATTAGGAGAGGTCTGCCTGGGCTGGACTCTGGAGGAACGAGGTGGGTGGGGTGAGCGTAAGAGCAGGGGGCTCCCTTGGGGGCTATTGCGGGTGTCCACTTTGGGGGGAGTAGCACTGAGCCAGGGTGGCAGCAGCAAGTGGTCAGAGTCAGCCTGTGTTGGAGAGCTGAGGGTGGAGGGGAGAGAAGGAGGGGTGGGTGGGAATCAAAGGTGATTCCTAGGTTGGGGCCCTAGCAACCAGGTCAATACTGGTACCTTTTAGCCATGACTGGGAAAACTGGGCAACGAACAGATTTTATGGAAAAACGGAGAGTTTGGATTATGAGATGCCTCTTAGACAATCCAACCTAGCTCACCATCCAAGCGGGTATGTTGAGTAGGCAGTCGGACCCGTAAGCTCGGGAGAAAGATGAGGGCTGAGATCATAGAGAATTGTAGCCCGTAGATTGTGTTTAAGGCCATGGGGTGGAGGAGATGACCTGCAGAAAGGTGGATAGAGGCAGAGGGTGGGGAGAGTTAGGCCAGGCCTGGGGACTGGCCGATGGAAAGGTCAGAAAAAGGAGATAGCACCAGTAAAGGGGTCTGAGGGGGCAAGAATGTGATGTTTGAGGAGGTGAAGTGGAGCCCTGCTTCCTCCTCCCTAAGGGGAGGTCCTCAGCTGTGCCAAAGGCTGCTCAGAGCTCCAGGAGGATAACCAGAGACTGAGGGCAGTGACGTCAGCTTCAGCACGAGGGGGAAGCCTGGACCAGA